ATAAAAGTGTCTTGGCAGAACATTGATGACTTTCGGTGATTATGTGATTGACTGTCAGTTGTGATTGGCAGCTTTGACAAGTATGTCGGTTACTGGATGACATCAGGTAACCTTGTTTTAATTTTGTATGTCCGGTCTGAAGTGTCCTTATCACGACAAAATTGTAGTGCCAAAAATAGATGTAAAGCTGAGAAGTTGGTGTCCCAGTATTGTTGCCATTGGGTTCTTGTTCTTCTTTTAATATGGGATTTTAAGTACTTACTAATTAGGGTGTTAACAGCGAGATCAGAAGATCTTGGAGTGAGTTTTGCGTGGTGGTCTGCAAGTTCATTCCCTGTTATACCAATATGGGAAGGTAACCAGATTAGAGTAACGGTTATATTTTGGGAAAAGATAAGTTGTTAATGATCATGGATCTTTTGAACTATAGGATGATCAATGAATACATTTTGGATAGATTGGATTGAGGCTAGAAAGTCTGTGCATATAGCAACTTGCTTATTTGTTCACACCGGAGGCACGAGAAGACTACGTGAGAATAAGGAATAGAGTAAACCAAGAAGTAGATAACATCAAAACACTGGGATAAATTTACCAAAGATATGAAATACGACCTCTCTGGATCCCAGAAAAAGGTGTGGAATATGATAAAGAAACAAAAACAAAAATTATTGAATTTGTACGCATAGATAACATTACGGAGGAACAAGGACTGAGAATTTCATGAGATTAATGGACAAGGAGAAGAAGAGAACAGAGTAAGAATCATCAACGAAACTCACGATAGAGTACTAATATCAGAAGAAGAGCTACAAGAACGAATAAAAAAATTAAAAAACAGAAAAGCGCCTGGTCCTGATAAGATAAATAATGAACTGCTAAAATATACACTACGCAAATGTGTACTCAGTACATACATACAATATGTCGTATTTCTTTATAAAGATAATTTCTTTAAAAATTTTATAATGAATTCCTTGGAAGTTGTAAATTTATCTTATTTTGTAATTGACGTGTTACATTGAGAAATGACTATAGACCAAGTAAGATATCGAGATAGGAGAGGTGGGATTGTTTGTGATAGATATATGCCATCAAGTAACTCTGTCAAAATTAGTGGGATAGATTTTAATACTGGTAATTTAGAAAAAAATATTTAAAAGCATGTTTATTGTGGTTCATTTGTCCTACTGTTAACTTTTAACACTTGTATTACATTAATTAAGCATTTTACAGATGCATGTTACAAATTGACAAATTAGCGAGAACTCAGTTGTAGAGATTACCAATTAAATCTATCAACACTCTGTAGAAGTGTCTAAAGGAACCCATAAAGACGACTGCATAAAACATGCATATATGCATCGTCGCAATATGCATCCTTCGGTTATTTTTAAATGAATGTAAAATGAAAGCCCTAAAAGTTCGATTCCAAATGTCGCAGTAATGAATCAAGGTATGAAAAGCTAACAGGTGCGTTTAAACAGCTACTCAACTCTGGATCAATACCGACGACAAAAACAGCTGTTATAGATTTCTGAAATTCCAGCATTCGGGCAAAGGTATCTGTTGGAGTTTCATTCACAAATAGGATAAACGCCATATTCACTTAATACGCACACGAAATACGTTCATCACTGTTTTGTTTTTATCTATATATTTTAAATATCATTTCCGAATGAAATTTACTTGGACATATTGAATGTTTGTACTATTTTCTAGTTATAAATTATTTCTACATTTCTATATTTTTATAAAAAATATATACAAAATCATTATATAGTTTTTGTTACTTTAGTGCTTTTGCGATAAAAAATGTAGTTCACTTTGAAATTGTAAGTTTGTAATTTATTGTCTGTACTAGGAGTGTAGGTGTTGCAATAAAAAAGCTTTCTATGATCAATTAGGAAACATACTTATAGATATTCCAAATAAGAGATGTATTCCAATGAAGTTTAGTAAAATTATCAAGTGTAACAAATACCAGACAAATGGGAATAGCAGTATTTTAGTGTACGAAAACAAAGGAGATGTATATACTCCAGTCAATGAAGAAAAAAAGTTGAAAAAGTCTTATACAGATATTTGAAGCTCTAAAAGGTATATGAGGGGTAGCTGATGAAAAATCCGTGAAGGCGTACAGCTGATTTGGTAGTTACTATTTTTTTAACCAAGCTTAAAAAGTGGGAAACATAGTTTTTTGACTATAAAAAGTTTTTATAGTCATTTTGAGAGTTTCCAAAATAAAATACATAAATAATTGACCGAGGTAATTAAAAAAAACGCTTATTTTTATAGTAAATTGTAGATGTTAATAACTTTTTCTTATTTGAAACTGCTTCAACCACAAGGGTTATTAGCAATTGTCGATTTTACAGATAACATACACATAAAAAAAATGAAGAATAAAATTAGATTTTGGTAATTGGTCCTGAGGAAACCAAAAAAAAAGTATGATACGATTGCGGTCACTATGTTCACTTAGAATGTCTTTTATTGTTGAAGGTAACTGTTCATATTGTCTTTCGAATGCGTACAACGGACACTCCACTAATAAGTGATGTACTGTTAGATCACTATCACACGCGTAACACAAAGGTTTGGGTTACTTCTGTAGTAGGAAATCATGTGTGATCTTGGTGTGTCCTAATGGTAGTCTGGACATGAAGTTTTTAAGATTGTGACACGAAGTTCCTTTGATATGTGTTTCTTGCAAACATAGGATGGATGGACGAAATTTATTCAATGGGTATGGTACCCATTTAGGTTACGGAGAGGAATTGCTAGGATCATTGGTAGAAGTATTACTTAAAATTTGTTCTGTAATTTTGTTTTTATTTCTAGAACAACGGGATTTAAGATATCTTGGAATTAACATAGAATGTATTTTCTTTAGAAAGTCTATTAATCCTTCGATATCCTCCGAGTAAGTTCTGGCGACACTGAGAGGATCTGAAGAACCATGCGCATTTTCAAAGAAGTCAATAATTTCTTCCTGTGTTAAGTATCCATTGTCCAAGTTTTCTTTGAAAAATTGACTGGTGCGTTTGGTAAGATCTTCTACTAAGTTCCTGTTGTTTTTGAGAATGTATCTTGATCAAAGGTATCCATTTGAGTCTCATTAGGTAGGTCGCAGCTTATCGGAGTATGCTTATTTGATTAAGAAGTAATGATTTTTCTAGACGTTTGAGCCTCAGTAAGAGAGGATTGTGTAGAGGAATTTATCGACAAAGTAGCTGAGTGTTGTACTGTAATTTCAGTCTCAGTAGGAGAGGATTGTGTAAGAGAATTTGTAATTTGCGGCGTGTGCTCCATTGCAGAGAGTGCATATGGCAGGTGTGTCCCTAGGTTTTTTTACAACCGGCTGACATATGGTTGCCTCCACATTTGACACAGTGACCAGGTCTATTAAGGTATGTCTTAGAGTGTCCATACAATTGGCATCTGGTACACTGGACAATGAAGAGATTATTGGAGTGGAGACCAAGAGCCGACAAGCGAAGTCGAGGCAGACCACCCACCTGATGGACCGACTACCTAAGGAGAATAGAAACAAACTGGATTGCAGCAGCTAGAGATAGAGAGAACTGGAGACGTTTGGAGGAGGCCTATATCCAAAAATGGATGTGAAAATGGGGCTGGATGATGATGATGATGATGACACTGGACAATATTATTCTTTTTATACGGTGGCTCAATAACTATTTTCGAAATGTTTATAAATTGAATTTCATATATTTTTTATTATTTTAATTAGGTTCTATATCGACGTAGAGCCTCATTAGAGGGTCCTTACTTACTCTGTGTTTTATATTTACAATATTGCGTACTAAATGCCCATGTTTTTCTATTTTACTTTCATTATATTAATGGGCACTGTATCATGTAAGTTACGAATTACAACATTGTATGCTTTTTCCTATTGCATTTGGTACATATGATGCACAATTTTTTTGTTGTTTAAATGTCTTACCAGTTTTCGGTATGAGTCCCGGCAATTTATTTTTATTGTGTTGTTTTTTAGCTGCACAATAGTATGTCTCTATTTTTGTTACTTCCGATAAGTTATTAACCATTTTATTGTATTCAGTACCACCATATATAAAAATTGGTGGGGGTTTTGAAGTTGCTGGAGTTTCGTTGGTATTTTCAGTACTGTTATTGTTGTCGTTTTCATTTTCATTATGTATAATCTGAAAATTATTGCTGGTTACTACCGTGTCTTCGTTTTCTGTTGATGCCGGAGGATTAATTTTACGTTTTTTGTTACTATGTTGTATAGTTTGCCATTCGTGGATGTCCTATGATTCAGTGACGCTGATTTCCCCTGAACATTCTTCACTTTGCATTGTGTGTGTCATCTCAATAGAATCAGAAGCTTCATTTTGAGGTGTAAATAATGTGGGATTTATTTTAGGATTTTATTGACAATTTAAGGAAAATTGTGATAGTACTTGGTTAGGAACATGGTTAGGGTTGTTTAAAATTTGTGCTGAATTTGGTTGTAAATTTTGTGGTAAAAGGACATTTGAGCATTCTGGTTGAATTTGCTTTTGCTGATATTAAATATTTATAGGTTGACCATTAACAGTAGCAGTATAAAAAGGAATACTCACCCATAAATCTAGTGGAGCACTCATTTTAATTGTTAAAACTGTAAATTTTATATAATACTATATGTCTCTATAGTGGTGGACAATCAATGGTAGATATATGTATCTTTCAAAGATACAGAAATAAAAATCGAAATTAAAAAATCTAATGAATATTGACAAATATGAGATTGGACTGATTTCAGTGACCCACTTTGTATTTTACACAGTATAACAGGATTTTACCAACAATTTGTGCATTTTCACCATAGAATTTTTCAAGACATCTCTTAATAATAGGAATATTTGATATGGCTGCTATTTCCTGTAGATTTGTTTCTTATGTCTCACCTTTTATACATTACAAAGTTTATATTTAATAATATTAATAGAGATATATTATTTCAGACAAAAAATTGGACGTTTTAGAACTCGGCCCATATACGGAACTCTCATTACCACTCCTCGAAGTAGTGACGAAAGATACAAAGCTTTTCAAGAAGTCGCTAGATTGTATGGAATGCCGATATCATCTGAACCAAGGCGAAAAATGACGACGACCTTCCGTTTACCTGGAGGAGGCAGAATTCGGACAGTCGGCATGTCACCCGTTCAAGGAAGTTTTCAACATTTAAAGGTTGGTATATTATTTACGTCCATTTTGTATAATAATGCATCATGTACAAATATGTGGATATAGCTGATGTCGCTATTGTACACTCTATCATCATCATTCTCTTTGCCTTTATCCGTATGCGGAGTCGGCTTCTCTAATTAGATTGTTTCATAAGTTTCTCTCTTGTGTCATACCAACATCAATCACCTTTACCTGTCCTGACTAGTTGTCTACTCCAAGTCTTCCTTGGTCTTCCTCTCCTACTCCTCCCGGAAACCCGCAGATCAGCAATTTTTCGTAGAATGACCAAACCCTCTTAATCTATGCTCCTTAATCTTAGCATCAGTTTGTGCTACACCTAGCCTTCCACGAATATACTCATTTCTCTGTCTTTTTAACTGCCAACATTATATTGCGTATATCATAGATGATCTTATGTTTTATAGAATATGTTTATCTACTGTTTTATAGCATTTACCCTTCAGATTAATTTTAGGAATTATATTATACAGTGTGTAAAAGCCAAATGGAATAAATTTATTATTTAGGTTACTGTACATATTTATAAAAAATCCCGAAACACGTCAAATTTAAATTATAACTTGATATTCTTTAACGTAAAAATGCAACCCCTACCTTCAACCCCCTTAGAATGACAGGTACAACCCCCAATTTTTAAAATGGGAAGTATAGGCTTGTGATATATCGTTTGAAAGGTCTTTTCATTCTCTATTTAAAAATGGTGCTTTAAAGTTTATTAAGATTAATCAAGATAAAATAAATTAAAATCATGTGGTTACCGAAATTTGCTAAAATATACTCAAAACTTATTTCCCGTTTATTTCTTGATAATGAGAAAGTGAACAAAAACCATAGCAATGTGGTTTTTAGATGGTAACCATTAAAAAACTTTAAAGAATTTCCGTGGCAACGTTATTTTAACACGGATTAGTTAATTGTTTTATTTAAATTGTCACTATTTTAATTTAAGTAAAAAAGTTCGTTCAATTCAATTCTGAAAAATGGGTAGATTAACGGAAATGCATAAAATAACAGTTTTACCTTAAAAAGGGGGTTTAGATCTTTTTTTTCTAAGATATGTTATGTGAAAACGAGAAGCAAAGACATTGTTTCTAATGGGATTTTCACTATTTGCTAAATCAGTTGCAGTATATGCTAGGCTAAGATATTGTCTTTTTAATTCCAGAGGCATTTCTCCTACTAAACATAGTAAGCTATCTGTAGGTCTGGTAGAAAAAGCTCCTAAGGCTATTCTTACAGCATAATTTTGGATTGTTTGCAACTCTTTTAAAAGTGATTGACTGATAGACCAATACACGATTGAACCGTAATCGACTTTAGATCTAATAAGGCTTTTATATACTGTCAATAAGATATATTGATTACATCCCCAGTTTGTAGTAGACAGGACTTTCATTATTTTCAAATATTCTTGACAAAATGTTTTAAGATAATAAATATGTTGCTTAAAATTTAAATGTTTGTCAAAAATAATTCCAAGGAATTTGATACAATCAACATATTCTATTTTTGTATTAAAGATTTTAAGTTCTGGACTACTAGTATTGCATTTTCTGGTGAAATGGATACACTTACTTTTGTTGGAACAAAATTTCATTCCAGATTTCATTGACCATTTTTCTAATGCAGAAATAGTATCTTGTAAGGTTTGTTTAATTAGTTCTATGCTTCTTCCTTTACAACAAATTATGAGATCATCTGCGTATAGCCTAGTCTTTACTGGTGGAGAATCGTTTTCCAAAATACTGTTAATAACAATAAAAAAAGTAACACTAATCGATGATCCTAGAGGGGTTTCATTGTATCCTGTATTCTTGTTTTAGAAATGAAATCATCTACCCTTACTTGGAAGCTTCGGTTTTTTAAGAAGTTAGTGATGAAGTTTAGCATATTTCCTTGTATACCTAATTTCTGTAAAGTTTTAATTATTCCATGGCGCCAAACTGTATCAAATGCTCTGGTTATATCAAAAAATACCGCTATGCAGCTTTAATTTGTTGCTAGCGCTTCATGTGTTTCAGACTCGAGGTCAACTAAGTTGTCTAGAGTTAATCTATCTTTATAAAATCCACTTTGTTTGTTAGATAAAACAGATCTTTGCTCGAGTATCCAAATAAGACTTTTCCAATGATATGATCTGCTGCGGAAAGTATGACGGAGAAAAATTTATTTACTAAGTCGTTTATATTGTCATACGGGGATGTATCTGAAAAAGAATTTAATTGATTCTGCACAAATTGTGTAAACGATGACCAGTCCTCTATTTCTGTATTCCATCTAGTGTATGGTTGAATTTTCTGTTTGTTTTCGAAATTTATCACTATGGGATAATCATCGCTTCCATACAATTGTGTACTAGCTTCCCAAGCTATGTTTTGTACATAAAAAGGGTCTACAAGAGATAAGTCAATACAACTAGTGTTTCCAGTATAAGGTTAATAAACAATACATACAAGAACGTAACTATGTCCGTGAAACTACATGAAAACAGGTATCATATCCTAATCGGCAGAGGAGTCCGACAAGGTGATACCTTAATAAAGCATACTTTTTGCTCCAAGCCATCAATAATTTGAAACTGAACATGGTTACGTCGAATATATCGTCCCATAATATCCCATGCATTCTCGATTAGATTTAATTCAGGACTCCTTGGAAACCGTGGTAATACAATAATTTCAATTTCATCCAAGTAATCTCCGGAACATCGAAAAATGTCTTATCTGGGACATATAGTTAGAGGAAGTCGATATAAAATTTTACAACTGATCCTTAAAGGCAAAATAGAGGGCCGTAGAGGTGTAGGAAGAAAACAAGTTTCTTGGTTAAAAAACATTCGTGAATGGACTCAGATACCAAATGCAGGACAATTATTCCATATTGCAGAAGATCGAGAAGCCTTCGCAATGGTATTCGCCAACGTCGGATAATTCTGATATGGCATGCAAAGAAGAAGAAGCAACAGAAGATTGGTGATAGTAAAAATATTTAGCTACAATGAAGTTGACAATCTTAAGCTCCAATTCCAATAATTTGCAAATATTTTCAGGAAATATCTGCGCACATAGTGCTTACTGTGCAAATTGGTAAATAAGAGTCTCGCGATTTTTTTTTTAAATAGCTTCAAACTCATTTCATGTACCTATCATACTTTTCGCTCCGTCGCGTCTGTTGAAATCCGGAACATATTTTCTAAAGGAGTTTGATGTTTTCGAAGTACTCAATTACAACATTTGCTTTATCTACTTCACTCATTTCACGGAAGAACCGCAACCAAGTAATCAAACAGCCGCATTCGGCTTATGTGCCGCGGTTTACCGACTGCTGATATAGTCTATTATCGATCTCCATGTTTAAGCACCCTATGTGTATTTATACATATCTATATATCTAAATAATGTGTTTTTGAAGTGATTTGTAAATCTAGTGTTTCTTTCTTATTAACTTTCTCTGGATCATAAATCTCAAATCATAGATCTAAAATAATCGAGATGATGTCTGTTGTTATGAAAATTGACTTTAAAACTCGTTGCTATATTATTCCTATTATCCCCTACATAAAATATAATGTTTTTTTCTCTTGATTTTTTAAATAAAATCTGATTATTCTTCTTCAATTGTGTAGGTACTTTATTATACTAAATCGGTTAACAACAAAATCTCAATCTAGTCTCTGCTCTAGTCTTATTTTAGAAGAAGGGGTTAACATAGAACCATATAACTAAATAATGCACAGCACCGCAAAACTATCATTTTAATGTAATATACCAATAGACTTTTTATTATTCACGATTATTAATTCTTCTTCTTTTGGTGCCTATCCTCTGTGGATGGTGGCAATCACGTTGGTCCATACAACTTTGTTGACAGCTGGTGTAAATAGATGTATGGTAGTCATTCCTGCCCACTGTCTGATGTTCTTCAACCACGATGTCCTTCTGCGCCCTTGAGATCTTTTGCTTCCTATCTTGTCTTATAAAATTAGTTGAATTAGTTGATACTTCTCAATGCGCATCACATGCCCTAAGCATATCATCTTTCTGATTTTCACGATACGCATAATTTCCAGATCTTTATTCATACATTGGTGTTGTTTGAAACATGATGGATATAAGAAATTCTGAGTATGAGGCAGTAGCATCACATTTCGAAAGCTTCTAATCCTTTGGATGTTGCATCCGTCAAGGTCCAGGTTTCGACTCCATATAAAATGGTAGAAAATACATAGAATCTCAAGACTCGTGTTCTTATATCAATGTTTGTGTTGTGCGGTTTTTTTGGTTTAGAGGGTTTAGGTTTTGCAGATTTTCTGATGAAATTGCTGAATCTGAAGGAGTCGTGACGATCTCACCAATACTGCGTTTTATTGAAGAACGTGCGTTTTTGTAATTGCTATTAGAGTTTTCACTTAGATTCTGTGGCTTTATTACATTTGGAAGTACTGGAACAAACTCATTGGTAGTGATAGAAGTCGAGCTTGAAGTTATATTTATAAGATTGGTTGAAATGGTTGTTTCAGAAAATTGTGGTGATGTATCAGTTTTATTAGAATTTTCTGCAGTTGTATCTAATGGAAAAGGAGCTAATAGATTGGAGGATATTGCTTCCGAAGTTTGTAAAAACGGCATTGCCGCTGAATGAGGCTGATTGAAAGTGTTGCTATGAGTAGGAGTATTAGTAATTTCTTTGTCATGGAGATTTGTAGGTGTAGGTGATATACTCGGATTTGATAATGGATAACTTGATGACTGCTGGGTATTTGGTACTTTGTGTAGTATACTTGTTGAAGCTGTTTGATTTGGTACTTCATTGTTTGACTCAATATGCGTTGATTCTGTTACTGAACTGTTATTGTATAGGGATGATATGTGTCCTGTATTTTTGCAAATAAAGCAGGTGAGTATACCTTGTGACAAAATATGCGGTAAAGTGTTTGGTCGAAATTTATTAGAATAGAATCTGAAATTGGTGATGTTATA